AACCTTTTTGAGCAATTCATAGCGTTTTGAGCTGCACAGTTACAACCAGATTGTGAACAACAAAATGTCTTAATTTATTCGTTCGGCAGCTAGTATAACTGGCCTCACACCAGTGTGTCGCAAAAATGCTTTGAGTGAAGACATTATGCATTCTAGGAAAGTCGCTTTTAAAGTGATGGAAGACTTTTCTACGGAAGAACCTGAATTTTCCTCCCCCAGAGAATCCATAGTACCTCCGGGATCGTCAGATTAAATCCAATCTGCCTTGACCAATCAAAATGGATTAAATAGAGTGTGATTTTCTTCGGTGATCAGGATCGATAACTTGATATGCCAGTGGAACTGGTTTATATAATACAAGGCACAAGATTATTTAGTTTTCCCTAAAACTCATTGCCATTAGCAATCAAAGTTAGCAGGTCTCTCAGGCAATTGTTCTGCTTGATGCATGCTAGTTTTTGAAAAAAATAGTTGAGACAAACTGCTTGGTCCAAACAATTGTGCATATTTTAAGGCGTGATTTTTTGGCAACCAACTTTTTCTAAAAGCATTTTATTTTCCCTGAACGTAACTTTATTAGCACGATAAAATATTTCATTTGAAATATTGAGGTAGTAATTTGAACAAAAGTAGCATTCGTCAAGAAAGTATTCCAAAGTATTATCCTTATAGTCGGTGCAGTCAAGTACTCAAGTAAAACAAATGCAATCATGTCGCGATTGTAACAAATAGACTGGTCCTGTAGCAAAAGGGAATTTGAAAATAATTGAACCACTTCCTAGGTCACCTGCATACTTCTTGAGGTGTCTCTTTGATAGGCCACTTACCTATTCATATTTTGTCTAAGTCACGCTGCAGTCTTCCTACTACTGTGCACTTACGGTTTCGCATTAAAGTTTCCGGTGCTCCAAGGTAACATTATACCCAGACTACTATGGTGGACATTCCGGACAGGTAAACATTAACGCATTTGCATGTCATAAAACTGAGCATTTCCAAGTAAACCATTTAGGCTATTTAAGACAGTATATTTGCATTGCTTTCTTAGAAGGCTTATACTTGGGCCGTAGGCATTAAAGCACGAGTCATAAGCAAATTACGACGATTGGCTGACCAGCTACGTGAAGAGTCATTCAGCCAATCAAAAGAACCCTACTATAATATGTGCAAGGAGCAAGTTTTATTTGGAAAATGAGGCAAACAGTGGTCGGTTTGATTATTATTATTTTAATTGCTTACGCCATCGCTGAGTTCATAGTCCTGAACAATACATTGTACGATATTCAAGTGCAGTCGTTAGTACTCGCATTATCACTGAATTTTATTGCATCCACCTTCGCCAAA